CATCTGACATGCACGCCGCCGCCAAAATAGCCGCCGCAGCGCCGCCGCCCTCGTGCAAGGCCAACGCCTGCGCCCCGATCCAGCCGTCCCGCGCCGGCCTCATGGAAGAGCGCAAGGGAGAGGAGGGACGGGGAAGGGGGGAGGATGAATGGCGGCTAGGGTTTCCTCTCGAGCCGCTCGCGGGAGCGACCGGGAGGGAGGGGGGCTCCCGCGAGCGGCTGGTCAGAGATGCTCTTAGACCAAGTTCTTTTACACCAAAAAAAACGTCTATCTTGAATAGTTCTTCCTACACCATGCGAGGTATACTGGATTTAGGTTCACACGGGCCGTCTCCTGAAACAAATGGTTTCACGTGCGCCGGCCTTCCTTCGCGTTCTGCCCACCACACAAACCAATTATTTGCAAAGGCTAAAGTATAGTGTTCCTCGCTGCTTTTGGTGCCTTTAGCTGATTAAAGCAAAGCTGAATTACTCTACTTTATTCGGCTGCGTGCATATATACTGATGCCCTCCACACAATCATGAAAGCCCTCTTAGAGCATCTACAACCGCATACGACAAATATGACCCCTCAAATGCTCGCGGACGCGCCCGAATATCTCATACTAGATTCTCAAATTCATACAAAAGCATACAAACTAAATACCCTACGTACTACCTACATGATCTAGCAACTCCTCATGGGAGATGTCGACAATCTCCGTGCTTGGCTCCACGTACATGGGCGGCAGCTACAACTCCGGCTACTCCGCTCCGGCCTCCTCTTCCTCTATCTTCACTCGAGTTCAACGAAGAGCGTGTCGGACTCCACTTGCTCCTGTCGGAGGAACTGCAGGTTGGCCTCCACATAGGCCTTATTCTGGATGGACTCCGGGATGGCCTGCTGCTCCGCCATCGCTGCGGCTTGGGCGACGGCGAACTCCGCCTCCGCCTCCGCCATGTTGAACCCCCGAAGCAGGCTGCTCCACCTCCTCCTTCGGATCTGCTACCTCCATCGGCTCCGGTAGTTGCTCTCCCTCCTCCTCCTCCGACTGTTACTCCTCCTCCGGCCCAGGCGTTTGAGGCCGGTTTGGGGCGCTCGGCTATAGATGCTCTTAGGGCAACTATGGTGGCATATGGAGCCTCATCAATGAATAGAAAATAGAGACTTTAGTACATATGCATCTCTACTCTTTACTTCAACCTTTTAAGTTTTTTACACCGGACCACGCTTTCTCTCGTCAAGCACCTGCCTCCTTCAGAAGATTCCGCTTCCCTATCCAAAACTACTTTCTCTGACATATAAAAACGAACAGAGGTCAGTGTTGGGTAGAAGGAAGTTGAATGCCATGTGGCTAAAGTAGATGCCTTGCCTGATTGCAGTCCTCTTTTTTTGTGGGGTGCTTTGTACCCTTCATAATAGATCTGGGAGCTTGCTTGAAAAAGAAAAAGAAGTAGATGCCTTACCTGGCCGGTAGAAAAAGGAGATCCAAATCTTGTCTCCTCACTGCTTTTAGTAAATGTAGCTTATTATAAGTGCATTACCTGACCTGCGACGAGTGAAGCTCCATGATTATTATAGGTTGACGACCAGTGTATATATATAGGCGCATAGATAGATAGCTACCATCTCTGCTCTCAACTCCCAAGTCCCAACTTCTCTCTGAATAAGAAAAAAAACTTCCAAGTCCCAACCATTTCATCTCGGCAAGGTGAACCGAAGCGCAGATGGAGGCGGCCGTCGGCGCGACCAGCTCGCTCCTCGGCAAGGTGCTCACGAAGCTGTCCGAGGGCCTGGTGGCCGCGTATGTCGACAGCCTCGAGCTCGGCCACAACTCCCAGCAGATCAAAACCAAGCTGCTGCAAACACAAGGGCTGCTGCAGCTGGCCGAGGGGAGGGACGTGAGCAACGTCACCGCCCTTCAGGCCTTGTTGGAGGAGCTGAGCAAGAAGGCCGACGAGGCGGAGGACTTGCTGGATGAGCTCCACTACTTCAAGATCCAGGACCAGCTCGACGGCACCAACTATGCCGCGCCGGATCTCGGCGATGGCCTCCGCGGGCATGCTCGTCATGGTCGCCATGTTGTTCGCCACACCATCGGTAACTGCATTTCATGCTTTTGTTGCTCTCGCGCGCAAGATGATGGTTCTGCCCCTACTGCTGTTGCCAATAGCCCACACCAGCATGCAACCAACTCTGCTACTGCTAGTGCTGATGATGGTGGCGATGTTGATAAGTTATATTTCGACAGAGTGGCCATGTCCAGCAAAATCAAGTCAGTCATAGAGGAAATACACTCCCTATGTGACCCCGTCTCTGATTTGCTCAATAAAATTCCAAGCAGCAGCACAGCACAGTTGTCACCCTAAAACGGCCTCACATAGGGTCCACAATTATACAAGATACATTGCATGGGAGGAGAGACATTTTTGAGAAAACTGTCCATGATATCACAAGTGGCACACATCGCCGTCAAATTGTTTCTGTTCTTCCTATAGTTGGCCCGGGGGGGATTGGAAAGACAACTTTCACCCAACACCCGTATAATGATAGTAGGACTGAACAACACTTCACTGTTATGGTTTGGGTGTGTGTATCTACTGATTTTGATGTCTTGAAGATCACCCAACAGATTCATAATTGCATACCTGCAACTGAAAATGAAACTGCAAGTGAAACAACCAATCTAGACCGACTTCAGAAATCCATTGCACAGAGACTTAAGTCCAAAAGGTTCTTAATTGTCTTGGATGATATATGGAAATGCAATAGTGAGGACGAGTGGAAAACCCTGCTAGCCCCATTCACAAAGGGGGAAGCCAAAGGCAGCATGGTACTTGTCACAACTCGATTCCCAAAACTAGCAGGAATGATGAAAACAGTTGATCCAGTAGAACTGCAAGGCTTGGAGTCTAATGACTTCTTCAGATTCTTTGAATCATGTATGTTTGGTGAACACAAGCCTAAGGATTATGAAGATGAGTTAGATGGTGTTGCAAGAGAAATTGCAAGTAAGTTAAAGGGATCCCCTCTAGCAGCGAAAACAGTTGGTCGACTATTGAAGAAAAATCTTTCCCGGGAACATTGGAATGGAGTTCTTCATAATCATGAGTGGCGAAACCAGAAAAATGATAACGATATTATACCATCTTTGAAAATTAGCTACGATTACCTCCCTTTCTATCTGAAAAAATGCTTCTCATATTGTGCCCTTTTTCCTGAAGATTATAGGTTTAGCAATTCAGAAGTTAATCGTTTTTGGATTGCAATAGGCATCATAGACTCTAGCCACCCCCACCCAAGCGATGGGAATTACATGGATAGTCTGGTGGAAAATGGTTTTCTCATCAAGGGGGTTTCTGAACATTTTCCTTTTGGTGAATACTATGTAATGCATGATTTAATGCATGAGCTCTCTCGGAGTGTCTCTGCACAAGAATGCCTCAATATATGTGGTCTAGATTTTAAAGCTGAGGCCATTCCACAGTCTGTTCGGCACTTGTCAATCAACATAGAGAATAGATATGATGAAAAATTTGGGGAAGAAATGGTTAAACTAAAGGGTAGGATAGACACTGTAAATCTACGGACATTGATGATTTTTAGAGAATATGAAGAAAGAATCATTGAGATCTTAAGAGATACATTTAAGGAAACAAATGGCCTGCGTATCCTATTTATAGCAGTGAAGTCCCTCGAATCTCTGCCACAAAGCTTTTCAAAACTTATCCACCTCCGGTACCTCCAAATTGGATCACCCGTTCGCAGAGACATGACTTTACCTAACACACTATCCAGATTTTATCACTTGAAATTCTTGGACCTAAGTAGTTGGCATGGTAGTTCTAATTTGCCTAAAGACATTAGCCGCCTTTTGAATTTACGTGATTTCCTCGCTACGGAAGAACTCCACTCCAATGTTCTTGAGGTTGGAAAGATGAAGTATCTACAGGAGCTAAAAGAATTCCATGTTAAGAAAGAAAGTGTTGGATTTGATTTAAAAGAGTTGGGGGAATTGAGAGAGCTTGGGGGAACACTCAGTATACATAATCTTGAAAATGTGGCAACCAAGGAAGAAGCTACTGATGCCAAATTGATGTTGAAAAGGGATTTGAAAGAGTTGACATTAGTATGGGGCAGAGAGCAACCGACTGATGTAGATGCTGATATTCTTGATGCTCTTCAACCACACTCTAACCTTACAGCACTTGGCATTATAAATCATGGTGGCACCACTTGTCCTTGTTGGCTGTGTCCTGAGATAAGGGTGAACAATTTAGAGACTCTCCATTTACACGGTGTGTCTTGGGGAACTCTTCCACCTTTTGGGCAGCTACCATATCTCAGGGAACTCAGCTTGAAGAGCATTTCTGGTTTGCGTCAGTTTGGTCCTGACTATGGTGGTTTTACAGGCAAATGTCTTTTGCAGTTGAAGAAAGTTGTGTTTGATGACTTGTCAGATCTTGTCCAGTGGGTTGTGGAACCTAATTGTCATATGTTTCCAGGCCTTGAAAGCATCGATTGCAGCAATTGTCCCAATCTATGTGCGATACCCTTCTCGGAGTGCTCTTGTACCAATTTGTGCAGGCTTCACATTGATGGTTGCCCCAAGTTGTGTCTGCCCCCCATGCCTCACACCTCCACACTAACAGATTTTGTTGTTACAAAAGGTTTAGAAAGGTTGTCTTACAATGGAAAAAAAATGGTTGTTAGTGAGTATACCGGTGCTCTGACCTTCCACAATCTGGGTGAATTAGAGGATATGACAATTGGAGATGTATCTCACATTTCATGGGCAGACCTTGAAAAGCTTAAATCCTTAAGAAAACTAGCTGTCGGAAGATGCGACAGCATGTTCTGCGGAGAACTGGATGGCAGTGTTGTCTTCCACAACATGGATAAAGTTGAGAGTCTCAGTGTAGATGTATCTCATCTTACTAGAAAATTGCTATCAAAAGTGTTCAATAGTTGCCCAGCTCTTGCTGAATTGGAGATAAGTTCTTCATCTGAAGATTCTAAAGATGATGAGGAACAAGTACTACAGTTCCCATCATCCAGCTCACTGCGGAGTGCGGACACTTCGCTTCTCAAGGTTGAAGGGCCTGGTTCTTCTGCCTGCGGAGGATGGAGGAGGAATCCAGGACATCACGTCGCTCCAATCATTAGAAATATCTTCTTGCGACAAGTTGCTCTCTCGGTGGCCCATGGGAGAAGCAGGAGGAGCTCCGATGACCAACCCTTTCCCTGCTTCCCTCAGGATACTTCATATTTGGGGAGAGTCAGGCATGCGGTCAATGGCTCTGCTCTCAAACCTCACGTCTCTCACCCATCTAACTCTAGAAAACTGCAAGGATTTAACACTGGATGGGTTCAATCCTCTCATCATGGTCAACCTCAAGGAATTGGAGGTCCGGAACTGGAGCGGCAACTCTCTAGCAGCGGATCTGCTCTCAGAGGTAGCAAGGACCAAATTAATGGATGCGGGTTCCTTCCAATTGGAGAAACTGGAGGTGGATAGCATCTCGGCAGCGCTGGTTGCTCCCATTTGCAACCACCTCTCCGCCACCCTCCACAGCTTACAATTCTATGATGATCATCTGGCAAAAGGCTTCACGGAAGAGCAAGAGAATGCGCTTCAGCTCCTCACCTCCCTCCAGACACTAGGATTTTTTGATTGCACGGTTCTGCAGTCCCTCCCTCGAGGATTACAATGTCTTTCTTCTCTCAAAGAATTACATGTCGGTAGTTGTCCTGAATTCCGATGCCTGCCAGTGCCAGAGGAGGGCTTTCCCACTTCGCTGCAAGTTATAATTCTAGGGTTTGACAGATACGAGCAAAGAGAGCAAGCTGAGAAATGGAAAGAAGCATATCCATATTTACGAGTACTTTGTTATGAGCCTTGTTAGCCCAAGGTAACATTTGCCGTGAAGAGTTGTGTGAAAATTTCTGGATTCCTTCTTCCATGGCTAGCCACAGAGTAGGGTACATATATGTACACTAGTGGGCCTTTGGGCCACACACACACACACACACACAGCCCAACACTCCCCCTCAAGATGGATGATAGATATCTATCATTCCCATCTTGTTACATGCTAAATTACATTCTTTGACACCTAAACCCTTAGTTAGACTATCACTATCTGCTACTTGGTTCCCTGAGCTTACATAATTTAATTCTATTATACCCTCATCTAACTTCTCTTTAATAAAGAAGTGATCAATCTCCACATGTTTTGTTCTATCATGCTGGACTGGGTTGTTGGCTATGTTGATAGCTGATTTATTATCGCACCACACCTTCACAGGGCCCCTTCTCATCACTTTCAGTTCTGTTAGAAGATTTCTTACCCACAACATTTCACTAAGGCCTAATGACATAGCCCTGTATTCCGCTTCAGCCGTCGATCTTGATACAACTGATTGCTTCTTGCTTCTCCATGACACAAGGTTCCCTCCAACAAACACACAATATCCGGAAGTAGATCTTCTATCATCAAGACAGCTCGCCCAATCAGCATCACTATAACCATCTACATTTAAATGGCCATTCTTCTTAAACCATAGCCCCTTCCCTGGACTACCTTTTAGATATCGCAAGATATGGTGTACTGCATCTAGATGGCCACTCCTAGGATCATGCATGTATCTGCTTACCACACTCACAGCGTATGAAATGTCAGGTCTTGTGTGACATAAGTATAAGAGTCGCCCAACAAGCCTTTGATAATTCTCCCTATCCACTGGTTCTCCTGACTGCGCAGAAAGCTTGTGGTTTTGATCAATAGGTGTTGATGCAGCCCGACATCCTAGCATACCTGTGCCACTAAGTAAGTCCAGAACATACTTTCTTTGAGAGAGAACTATCCCTTTTGGAGACCTTGCAATTTCAATGCCTAGGAAGTATCTAAGGTGGCCAAGATCTTTCACCTCAAATTCCTTGCTTAGGTTCTTCTTCAATCGCAATATCTCTATGTCATCATCTCCTGTGATTATGATATCATCCACATATACTGCAAGGATTGTAATCCTACGCTCTGCGTGTCGATAGAACACCGTGTGATCACCATTGCATTGCTTATACCCCATATGACATACCGCATGCCTAAACCTGTCAAACCACGCTCGTGGTGACTGCTTGAGCCCATATAGTGACTTTCTCAATCTGCACACCTTTCCGGTGGTTCTAGGAGTGGAGAAACCAGGCGGAATCTCCATGTACACCTCTTCATGTAGGTCGCCATGCAAGAAAGCATTTTTAACATCTAACTGATGTAAAGGCCACCCAAAATTAGTCGCGCAAGAGATCAGGATCCTCACTGTGCTCATCTTTGCCACCGGTGCAAAAGTCTCATCATAGTCAATCCCATATGTTTGACTATATCCTCTAGCAACTAGTCTTGCCTTGTACCTTTCGATTTTCCCTTCTGGATTCTTCTTCACTGTGTATATCCATTTACAACTAACAGCCTTCTTTCCCTCAGGAAGATGTACAAGTTCCCAAGTTCTATTTTTTTCAAGGGCATTCAATTCCTCAATCATAGCATCATGCCACTTTGGATCTTGCTTTGCGGTTTTCCAGTCTTTTGGAATTTCCACTGATTGTAGTGATGAAACAAAAACTCTATATGCAGGGGACAAAGATTCATAGGATACATAATTGCTTATGTCATGCTCAAAGCCATACCTTGATGGAGGCTTTCCGGCCTTGATGCGAGTTGGCTTCCGCAAAGCAATTGGCAACTCAAGAGAGCTATCTTTCCCAGATGGAGTGGGTGTGTTGCATGGTGTATCAGTTGTTGATGGAGTGGAATTGACAATATCACCTATTTCAGGTCCTTCTTGTTCTACCGATTGTACCTGCTGCTCCAAGTGTTGCAACTCAACATGCTCTACAGGTTGTTGATGTTCTGCGAGAACCTTCCTTTGGTTTCTCCTCGTATACACCTGTAGGTTTTTTTCTTCATTTACTCGTCTCCATGCTTGCTCACTTGTTGGTTCATTCACCAGACATGGAATGGAACCAATTACTACCTTTGACCTTCTTGCTTCTTCACCCTCCTCGCTACTTGATTCATGTCCCCCCTCTCGACCATCACCATCAACATTAGGGGGTTCAAGATCAAACAATGAGCTAAGGTCAGTCCTCTCACCATAATATGGCTCAGATTCTCTGAACGTCACATCCATGCTCACAAATGTGCGTCGCTCACTCGGGCTCCAACACTTGTAGCCTTTCTGTCCCGATGGGTATCCAATAAAGATGCACTTCACTGCACGTGGATCTAGCTTCCCCACTGAGGGTCTATGATCCCTAATGAAACAAGTGCATCCAAAAACCTTGGGTGGAACCACAAATTTGTTCTCACCTAGCAGCATTTCGCATGGAGACTTCATTCCAATCACTCTTGATGGCATGCGATTAATGAGATATGTAGCTGTCATCATAGCCTCACTCCATAAGAACTTTGGCACGTTCATCGTGTACATCAATGACCGAGCCACCTCTAAGATGTGGCGATTTTTCCTTTCTACCACTCCATTCTGAGGAGGTGTATCTGGACAAGAGGTTTGATGCAATATACCTTGTGCTGACAGAAAAGCACCAAATTCCTTATTCACATACTCTGTCCCATTATCTGTCCGGATCATTTGAACTTGTGTGTTGAACTGATTCTTCACATAGGCATAAAAATCCAGAAAACATTTGAACACCTCATCCTTGTGCCTCATAAGGTATACCCATGTCATGCGAGAGTAACAATCAATAAATGTAACAAAGTACTTCATTCCACTAACAGAGATAACAGGACATGTCCACACATCTGAATGAACAAGCACAAAGGGAGATATACTCATAATCCCCCTATTTACATAAGACTTCCTTGTGTGTTTGCCAAACTCACAAGCGTCACACAAAAGCTTACTCTTATCCACCCCACACATTACATCAGGATATACTTTGCTCATTTTATCAAAAGACATATGTCCCATTCTACAATGTAGAAGTATCATAGTAGCTTCTTTCTCTCCCATCATCACTGCTAACACGGTAGACGTTGCGGTGTTTGTATCCTCACGATCCATGTACCATAGCCCATTATGTCTGGTTGCGGTCCCAAGCTTCCTCCCTGTTCGCCTCTCCTGAATTATACATATTTTCCGGTCAACTATTATTCGACAATCCAAATCGTCTATCAAAGCACTCATTGACACAAGATTGACCGGAAAAGTAGGAACATGCAAAACCGATGAAAGTTTAATAAGTGGTGTGCATTGTATTGTGCCAACGCCTTTAACGGGCTGTGAGGTGCCATCGGCTGTTTGGATAGTTTCCTTACGTGTGGGTGGATGTTGAGTATATGACTCAAACTCATTCGATGTGCCCGCAACATGTTTAGATGCACCTGAATCAAGGATCCAATCTGGTTGTGATACTAGTGAGGAAGTAGATGTGTGGGCACAATTACCTTCATTGGCATAAGCAAAGTGAGCAAAATCACCAAATGTGATGTCTCCTTGGCCTTTATTCCCCGCATTCTCCATCTTCCTTTTCAACTTCCTCAACTCTTCTAACTCTTTTACAGAGAACTCAACTTTGTCAGAGGATTCATCTTCATGGACCGCCACATTTGCTTTGTGACCAATCCTATATCCTCGACCTCTACCTCCTCTTGTTCCACCTCGGCCATTTCCTCTCCCTCTTCCGCGGGTAGCCCCGCGCGGGGCATGACAATCACGACTCAAGTGCCCTGTCTCACCACAGTTGAAACACTCCCTGGTCTCACTATTCCTTACTATGAAGGCAGGACGAGATGGAGTTGTTATATTGTTCTTCATCACCTTCAGTCTGACCTCCTCTTGTGCAATTGCTGCTATAGCTTCCTCCAAAGTGGGGAGAGTGGGTTGGTGGAACATAGTAGCGCGTCTTCCCTCAAATTCCGAGTTCAAACCCTTGAGGAATTGGATCACTCGCCTACGTTCAATCCACTTCTTAACAGTAGATATGGAATCTGCATGTGGCAACTCGAGAGGGTCGAAGTGATCTAGATCAGCCCATAATCGCTACAGCTCAGCAACATACTCCATTACAGTGTGCTCCCCCTGTCTCAGATCACTAACTCTCTCTTGTGTCTCCACCATCAACATCACATTCCCTTTCCCAGAGTATAGCTTCGACAGAGTTTTCCATACCTCAGCGGCATTTGAGATTGTCTCAACAGTTGCAGCAATGCTCGGAGACAGGGAATTTAACATCCATGCCACCACCAATGAATTTGTGGTATTCCAATTCCTCCATTCTGCACTCGCCTTGCCCACTGGCTCAGTCGATTCTCCTTCAACAAAGCTCTCTAACCCCTTTGTCTTTAGGATCAGCAAAGCCCTTCGTGACCAACTTAAGTAATTTCTTACCCCCTCTAACTTAATATCATTCGGCATCAATTCAATCTTCTGCACAGTTTCAGCATGAGGTATCATCTCTCTACCAGAGGGCGATCCGCCTCCGGTCTTCTCTGTGAGAAGTTGTGCCAACTTCTCAAGCACTTGCTGGAGTCCTTGATTTTCCCCCATTGCTGCAGCAGCACTCAAATACACAGGCAAACCGCAGTACAAGCCTCAATACAAGACTCACCTTGTAGTACTAGAGCAACAAGCACAGCAAGGTACCAGACAAGGCCTCCCAGTCTTGCAGTACACCTCTCTTCTGTACACAGCAAGCAGTCTCTGCTTTTTCACTGTCACAGGCGACCAAATCTACCCCAAGCAGCTCCCTCCGGATTCCCCTTCTCTGCCTTCTTCCACAAGCTGCCTTCTTCTGTCTCAACCAGCAGCTTGCCTCTCCCGCTCCACTACAGGCCACCAGAAGCAGGGGCGACACTCTCCTCCAGCAGCTGCTCCTCTCCTG